GTAATGCAGAGCTAGGACATCGCAATTTTAATTGGAATACATTATTAATAATAAGTTTCCAAAACATAGCAGACGCTTTGATTTGGTTGCATCGATTGCCTTATGCCATTCTGCCAACATTTTTAGCGATTCCATATTTCGACGATGGAGCCAAGTGGGGGCATACTTATACATATATAAATATGTATACATTTATCAGTCAGTATGCTTATTTGAATCTATAAAAGCAACCGATGAAGCACTTGACATCAACGACTATGCAAATGTCAGGTTGCAAACACACAATAGTATGCAAATGCATGTGGACATATACATATATGGCCATACATAATTACATACATATATATGGCAACAAACAAAGCTAGGCATGCATATGTATGCACACCTTGCCAACCTTGCAACACGTATAAAATTTATCGGAATTTTGTTCTCTATGCCATTCATACGGGCGAAGTGTGCTTGTGGCCCATGACTGCGCTCGGCCTGGCAGGCATTTTGGGGCGAATGGTGGTGGACAGCATTCAATAAATAAGCACTTGCAACCGCACAATGACCATTCGATCAGCAGCGACAAAAGGAGGCAAGTGGAAAGCACACATAGCATACAGAGGAGGAAGCAGCATCAAAAGCCGCAGTAGCAGCTGCTGCAATTACACAACCACAATAACTAGGCAGGCAATGTGGGTGGCATTGTTCATGAACACTTGCATACGTATGTATGTATATAAATGGATGTGGGTGCATCTGTGTATATATGTACATATCGCACACGATCTTCAAATATGACACAACTCAAAATTGTACGTTTGTCAAAAAATGCGAAAAACTATTTCTCAACGAATGCCAATCATATGGGCATGGCACACTTTACCTTAGGTTTTATCAACAAATTGTAACAAAACTTTGCTCCAATTTTTGCTGAAAGGTAAATGAAAACTATGTATACATTTTTAGCGCATAATTTCAAAAATGGCAAAAATTGAATTGCGTCGCCTTTGAAGATCGCGTGCGATATGCGAATATGTATGTTTGTTGTGTTCGTCAGCGCAACGGTAGATAGGCATAGTGCGATCGCAGCAAAAACACACTTTACACTTTACGGTGTGTCGAAAATGTTTATATTTGTGGTGCTTTTTATAAGATCAGCGTATTACAACATAATCGAGATGTCTTGCATGCAAAACTCTTTTACACTGGCAGTAAATTGAGCAAAAAATAAAAAATTGTAAGTTGTAGGCAAAAGCATTTCAATTATTCAAATTTTTTGTTACTAAACTGAAAGTTATTTTCCAGATAACTAACAACACACGACAAAAAAAAAAACGTCGGCACTCTTTTTTTTAAAGAAATTATACTCCATCATATTATCGCAACTGGTATGTAAAGACTCAGCGATATGCCCATAAATTCATTGTTCTTTTTTGTTGTATTAATTTCTTGCGCATATCAAACATTATCTGAAACATGTCAACTATAATAAAATTATTTTCATCTTACTTTTTAAAGTACAGTTTAAGGAAGTTCCAACGTTATGTAAAATCCCTAAAAGAATACTAACTTGTTTTGTTTGTGAGAATAATATTATATTATTATATGGTCAACTGTTCAATTTAAAACAAAATGAGTATAGAACAAATGAACTAAAAAATACACTTTTTACGTAGTAGGCATAAACAAAAGTATTCCACATATAGCTTAGTGGTTAGCCGTTCTGAGTTTGCACATCGATGATGCGGTTCGATTTCTGCTGAACTCTTGGAAAAGAAAACTGATGAGGAGATGTGGTGATCGAAGCGAAGTAGCAGCTATAAATTCTACCGCTTAGACTTTGGTGCTTTTTCCAATTTTTTCCTGAAAAACATAAAAGTGACTCAAAGCTCAATAACAGTATTTAAATATAATACATTATTTTTTCGCGAGTTCAACAACAAACCTGCCAATTTTAAAAATGAAAAATATTAGAAAAAAGTCGAATAAAAAAAAACGTTTTAATATACACATGTATATACCACGCTTTTCTATTAATGGGCTAAAAATTAAAAAGTAATTTTTCCTAGGCCCATACAAATTTTACAATTCAAATTTGATTTTAAAACTTTAGCACAAGTCATTATAAAAAACGTATGAGATTTAAAATGAAAAAACGTGGGACGCTTTATTTTTATGAGCACTTTAAAAAAACTAACCCATGTCACTGTACGTATGTATATGTGGTGAGCCATATGTGTATGTGCATACTTGTATATTTGTACACACATCCATGACGCCAAGCTACCTCACTTCGTTGACAGCAAGCAAATTTAATTCAATGAAAAATGAGCAAATGTGTGTTTCTGACTGGCGGTGCCCAACATAGGCCGTTTTTCCAGTGTTGCTAACTTTTAAGTTTCAAAAAGCACCAAATCTTGGAAAAAAGAGCGTTCTACCGCACTAAAAGCACTATTTTTTTTTTAATCAAAGGAAGGGGAAGAGTAATACTTAATGATACCCTAAGTAGAAATGTGCGAAAAAATTTGTTGTTTTATAATATAACCTCAAGTATTGCGAAAAACCGTGTTTTTACACTTAGAGGCTAGGATATCTCAAAATTCTGCAGCTAGATTTGTATTCGGCACCGAAGAATCTACAAAAACCGATGTTAAAAAAGATAAAATTTTTCGAACTGTGTAATCAATCAATAATCAAGAAAATAAAAAAATAAAAACTTAACTTATCTGCGTGCTAGCATTTTCGACGCGAATACAATTTAACAAGAACGCAAGAACGTGGGTTTGCAACTTCATCTTTTTATCAATCATGGTTTGCATTTTAGTGCATTTAAATTTTTAGATTCTTGTAAATTCAGAAATTTTAGTTCAGAAAAAAGCACTAAAAAGGGCACTAGGCACTAAACCATTTTTTTTGGCGTTTTAATTTTCAAAAAGCACTAAATCTAGTGCTTAAAGCACTAAGTTGGCAACTATGCCTTTTTCGAATAACAGCTACGCCTTCATCTACAACCAGCAGCAGCCATCCATAATGCCTACCACCATCACACTTTAGAGATTTATACCCACATACATCTAAAATATTCGCACAGCATGCGGTGAGCAGCTGCAAGCGAGCTGAGTATAGTAAATCTGTTAGTTGAAGGATTGACTGTTGGTTAAATGCTGCTGGCACTTTGGCTAAGCCAACGACCAAACAGCTAAATATGAGTATAATGGCAAATAGCAAATGAGCTAGGAGGAAGGCTGTCGATTGGCAGTTGACGGTTGACAGACGGTAAGGCCAGAAATGGTTGCGACAACGTCAACAACAGTAAAAATGAGAAAAAAACCAACAACAAATTACCTAAAACTGAAGGCGTATTATTAGTTCAATGTATCGCACACGATCTTTAAAAGTGAGACAACTCAAAATTACGCGGTTGCCAGAAAAAGCGAAATACTATTTCTCAGCACATGTTAATCATATGTGGATGGCGGAGTTTACCTTAGGTTTTTTCAAGATAGGGTTTTGGACTCCTAATTCGGTGCAATGCATTATAAACAATTAAAAAGTAGTAGTACAGATATATAAGAATAAAGAAAAGGAAAACCCAGTAATCGTTTGTAAAAAATTAGTCTTGAATTCAAAACAAATCGCAGTGGCGGCACGTTAAAGGAAAATTACAGAGAATTTTGAGTTTTTATTTAATTTCATGAATTTTATAATAAACTAAATTGTAGAGATAGCGCACAGATGCGGTTTATGTGAAAAAAAGAAGATATAAATTAAATAATGTAGTTTAAATGCGTATTTTGGTACGCAGATAATTTTTAGAATTTTTATCTAAAAACTTTCCAATTCCAATCGCACTTTGCGCATTTCTTTTGTAATGCTGGTACAAAGTTTGGATTTTTGATTTATATAGTTTTTGTTAAATAATGAGCTCCACTTTTATAAAAAAAAATTAGCGAAAATAAATTCAAATGAAAAAGATTGCGAATATTATATAAAGATCACTACTATTTTGAGTGTGAGTCACTTCAGTTATTTATTCATTTTTACCTGAATAGTCAGTAGATTTGTACTCAGTGCAAAAATGGAAATATATGTTTGGATTCCACATTCCAAAATAATAAAGTGCTAACTAGCTTAAACAAATTCAAATCGGTTTTCTTAAGTTGCGGGCAGCTTTAAAATTAAATTTTAATGGCCTTTTTCATAAAAAATAAATTAGGTTTAAAGAGCTTTATAAATTGATGTTTTCATGCATTTTTCAATTCAAAAACCTTTTTTAAAGCTACTTTATTTGTTATGAATAAGGACCTAATACTTAAATCGTAAAGTTTGTATAAGTAAACTTCGTCAACAAAGGAGTATAAGCACCCCGGCGTAAAACTATCCCCTACAAATTTATTTTCAAACGCTACAGAGTTTTACGACTCGCCTGAATGTATTTGCCACATAGTATATTCACAGATACTAAAACATGGAAAACCTGCGCATGCGCAAAACGTACATTTGGCTCAAACCCTTTGATTGTTGACTCCAAACACATTGCGCAGATAGGTTACTGCCAATATAAAAGTATTAAATACTATATGATGTAAATAAATATCGTCCCCTTAATTCACAAAGGCCTTAACCCAAAATGTTTTTATTTTACAGGAGAGGCAAAAATCATTATCAAAAGTATGTATATCCGTTGTTCTCGCTACTAACACTATAGAATTTTTTATTGAAGATTTATTTTCATATATATCCTACCAAAATCTGCAACGAACTATCGCTGACAGCAGGTTGTGTTGCTGCCTCTTTGGGCTGTCAACAATATAAGATGGCATAAATTAATTAGAAAAAAATTAAAGCAAAAACCAACGCAAATTGACTGCCTACAATGAAGTTAGCAACAATAAAAGCTTTAGGGAAAATGCCTTTTCAAAATTAAAAAGTGGTTTTGTGAAAATGTAATAAGCCATGCGATACTTGCTAAAGTAAAAAAAATCTATACGTGAGTATACATATATACATACCTGACATACATATATAGATATCCATTGTACTGCAGCCATTTGCCGATATCCGCCGCTACGCTGCTTGTCTGATTCGATTTCCAACCGGATGCTCTGGGAACGATTTAATTAAAGTCAGTACAATATACTCATTATTTTTAAATACATACATATGTACAGTGCCGCACAAAATTATTGGCACATAGCATTTTTTCGCAATGGATGAACAATTTTTTTTTATTTTAATATGTCAACGCATTTTTTCCGCAACAACATTTACAATATTTTACTGGGCTACGAAAATCCATTTTCAGATACATAATGCGTGAATGCATATTGCATATCATGTCTACATATGCACACATAAGTACATACATAATCAAATATAATGAATAAAAAAAATTTTATTTTAGAAATTTGGTTTTTATGTTTTTCATTGTAGTTCAGATTTAAATAAAAAAATGTTGCATGCATTGCGAAAAATTCACTGTGCCAATACTTTTGAGTGGGACAGTAAGTACATGAATGTGCTATGTATATGTATTTGTGTGCTTGCAGTTTTTGTTGCAATTATCGGTATTGTTTTTGTTATTTCATACATACATACATATTGGCTGTGCAGCCGATAAACGATGTGGTCATAAATTACATGTAATTAAAATATAACGAAATGCGGTATACGAACATGCATACATATGTCTACATATTACATACGTGTAAATACTATATAAACTTGTGTATATGCTATTTATATTTTCGTAAACGCAATATTTATATGCCCCTTCGTGTTTGTGCACCTAAGCAAGCGTATACCACATATTACATATATTAAAGCCAATAATAGTTATATGCATGGAACCTGTAACTATACTTATGTATTTATCGCATTTACCAATACTTATTTACATTAGGTTGTCTTAAATAAAACAGTTACTCCTTTCGAAAACGATTAACAAAGTTTGCCATATTTTAAGACTTCAATAAAGAGGTTTGCAAAATTTTTTCAATTGCCAGCAAGAAATCACCAAAGAAAATCGTGTCAACAACATAACTAAAACAAGTAATTTTTAGCAAAAAAAAACCGACTTCAACTCTCATATAAAAAAAAAAATATATATATATATCTCATGATCCACTGATCGGATCTTAACCAGATTAGTATGGGACCACCTCTGAGACACTACCTTCCGATGCAAAAAGAATTATCGAAATCGGTTGACGTGGTCCAAAGTTATGCGGACATAAAAAAAAAAAAAGATTCCGACGAACTGATAACCTCCTCCTTTTTTGGAAGTCGGTTAATAAATACTCTTAGTCCAAAACCCCAGGGCCGGCAAACCTAACTTGTTTTTTAAGTAAAAAAAAGGAATAAGTGGCGTCTGCTCGTCTCTCCACCTAGGGGATGAGGCAAGCGTCGTCCAAGCGGAAATGTTGGGCGTCCTTAAAATTTCTAAGGGTATGTGAGAAGGTATCGAAAAAAAAATAAAATTTGTTGATGGATTTTACTAATACAAAAGTAAATTTAAGACTGACCAACTACATCCAAAGAAAATTGCAATTAAGTAAGTGCAGTTTTTTCAGATCTCAAAAACCTGAAATTTGTATTTCTCCAAAACTGTTATACTTTACTGTATTCTGAAATGTTTCGGTTGACCAACTACAATCAAAGAAAATTTCAATTAAGCGAGTGCACTTCTTTTCAAATCTCACTCAGCAAACTATTTATAAATAATTTATATCACTCGAATAACCAGTATGTGGTACTTACTATTCAAGGTCTTTAATTTGAGGCATAGTAGAAATGTTTAGGCCCTCTGGGAGCGAAGTTATAACATTTTTAAACCAAACTTCGAATCTGCTGTACTAGGTTTTACTCTGAAATTAAAAAAAAAAGAAAAATGCGCAAAAACAACCTTTGAATAACAGTACGGTCCTGCAAAAAACAGGACGAATGGTCACCGTAGCGATGGTGGAAATTACTGTACGAGTTTGTACTCTGAAATTAGAACAAAAATGCAAAAGTGTCGAGTGAAATTTCGAAGTTTAACTTCAGAATCGTTATAATTGGGCTCTAAAAAAGCCAAGAGACTCCTACTTTGGCTCAAATTAAAGGCCTTGAATATCACTACAATGTACTTGTTGTTCGAGTGATATGAAATTGTGTGAAGGATGCATCGCTGCATGCAAATCATAAAAAATGCAATATACTTATAATGCATTTTTAAAATTTGGGGGTAAATTTTTTTCGATTTTTGAAGTGCAATCGTATTTATCGTCTCAAATTCAATAATATTAGTGTAATAAAACCTAGAAAAATTTTTTTTTTTTAACATCTGACATAAAATTTTTTCCTGGTACACTTGGCGAATTTAGCCCCATACATATAAATAAACAACTTTTGAATGGTCAAATGAGAATGTGCAATCATATTTTTGTATGAAATAAAAACAGGAGATAATGTCACTCATACGCCATATCATACATGGCCGTACTCGTACATGGCGTATGAGTACGGTGACCATCCGCCCTGTGTTATACGGGCCAGTCCTCTTTTTTGACCCATTGTCCTGGTTATTTATTTATTTTATACGACACGCCAAATGTTCTGTATTTCTTTTAATGTCCTGTATTTGTCCCGTATTCGCTGATTCGACGCCTTAACAGCTCATTAAAATGGCATGCCAATGAACGAGTTGTAAATGATGTTGGTACATATATGTTACTAATTTTCTAATAAAAAGTTGTTATTTTCTAATCTGAATGCCTGAGGAATATATACAGTGACTAAAATAGAAAGTAGGACTCGATATTTTAGTAAGCTTTGGCTATTTTTCCTTATTTTCTTTAGTGTTTATTATTTGTTTTATGAAAGTTAAGTTCTTTTCCTAACAAAAACCATATTTTCAACTTTGTACAAAAAACTATAAAAATTAATTCTGCAAGGTTTCACCAAAATTTGAAAATTTAAAAATCTCAAACTTTTTAATTAGAATCTTTAGAAAAAAAATGTGGTTTGCAGTTTTGTAACTCATTAAAATTGAGGATTATAAAGTGCGAGTGGAAAGTGCTGCTCATTTGCTTCTCTTTAAAAAAAATGGTCGAACATACTTACTTTGTATGAAAAAAATGCGTAAGACCCTCAACAAAAAAAAATTGCCAAAAATTATTAGTAAGCCTTAGCAACTTAAAATTGTACTTTATTATACTAAAATTTAACGAAGTTTTTTAACAAATTTTACGGGGTAAAAATCTTGAGAAAATTTTCCTACATATTTGTGATGTTATTAAAAGGATACTTTTTCAGCGCTAATGCATCTAGGATCATTGAAGAAGGCTTTAAGATCTGTAAGCTGTTGTGGAACAAATTTGCAAAATTATTTTTTTTTCCGTATACGACTCTCATAAATATGGTCACCGTACGTATGAGTAACATTTGCCAATTTAAATGTTTTTTTATTTTTTTTTAATTCGCAATGAAAATTTAAAATGAATATATCTTGGGGAAAATGACCTGATCTAGAAGAACAGCACACTGACCCGTAGATCAGTCTTTTAGAAGATGAATGTGAGTTGATGACTAAAACTTCAGAAATGTTTAAAATGCTAATTGCTGCTCTCTGAGTGGCCATTAATATGCTTAAACTATTTTTCGGCAAAGGCAAAAGACCAGGAAAACCAACTGAGTTACATCGAATTGACCAATTGTTTTTTGTGCTATTCTTCTTCTTCAGCCTTTGAAATGCGAATATTCAATTGTTTATAAAAGCAAAATAGCAACTTCCTCCAACCTTTTACAACTACTTTTAAGTCACTCGTATTCTTATTGCGCTCAAGTTCTCAAATATGGCAGTAAAGTTGGAGTTTTTCGTTTTTTTGTTTTTAACTTGCCATTATGAATTTTGCAATAGCCGCGGCAGCTTCGCGCAGATAGTAAGCAAAGATTTCAGAAGTTTAATGAAAAACAGCAGCAAGAGAAAAAATGCAGAAACAGCGAGAAAAAAGTTAGTGAGCGTAAGGAGTAGTAACGCCAAAAACAACGCCAGCGACAACACCAGCAGCAAGCTGCTTTTTAGTACTGTGGCTATCGCATTTTGTGGCGACGTTACAGCACTTTATCCTCCTTGTGTGGCACGTTGGCGTTTGCTGTATGCTAGTTGTGCTTTTGTTTATGGCTGCCGAATAAAGTGGAAATTTTGCTTGTTTTCGATTTTTTTTTCCTTTCAACTCAATTTTTTTTTACTTTTAAATTTTTTTCTCTGCTGTTTATCTTTGGAGTTTCGTTTTAAGCGCAATTTTATTGTGTTTGTTAGCCAGCTGCTAGAAATGTCAAACAAGTAGTCGTTTACTTCAGTCTTTCCCTTTCTTGGCGCATTTCTCGTTAACAACACAAAGGCGGTGCAATCTGTTAATCGCTTAAACAATACAATAACAGACAACATTCAGTTTGTACGAGTTGTTGCTCCAAATGTCAACACGAGTAGGCTCTTGAGTGCATCTCGTTTGTGGTGTGCCAAAAATGACCAACCGGTGGGACTACAGCGACAGTTTATGTAGTGCAGTTGTACAGCCTAAAAGTGGCGGTCGTACTCTGTCATCTCTATTGGTGCTTCTCATCGCACTTGGCGTCTGATGACCCCACTTAATGCTGCTTTTTTTGATATTTTATTTACTATTTCTTTTACAGGGTTTTTTATTTTCGTGTGCTATTGTTTATTTTATACACCTTTATAACAACACTATGGTAGCTTTTAAAACTTTGAAGTGGCATCTGTTGGTCTGTTGAAACTTGTGCTGTTACCTAAACGTACATCCTTGGATGTTCAGCTACATCTTACTCCTTTACATATTCATATCCAGAGTTAGACGAAGAGAGATCTCCTAAGGATGGCTGGTAACAAAATTGCGACACAAGTGGTTCTTAGTCGAAGGAGGATCGATATTCTGAGGAAACAGTACCCTGAAATTGCGTTGATTGAAAAAAGGGAAGGTATTGATATCGGATGAACCTAAGCATGATAACCTGGTGCACTCCGGTGGCTCATTGACTGAAGTGAGAGAATTACATACTCGATATATCTTAGTTTTCCAGACAAATATTCATTCTCCAGACTGAA